TCCTTTTACAGTTCGCCAAATTGTTTGTGGTGACACTCCCAATACAGCCGACGCATTCCGAACGCTGGTCTCAGGATGATTGTCAAAATGTTGTAAAATACGATTCCCTGCCTGCAAATCTCTTCGTAACGCTGCTTGAAATCGGTTGTTTTCTTGTCGAATTGAAAATGATCCAGTCTCTCGCAATCTATTAAATGTCAACATAAACACTCTTCGGTTTGGCACTCTTCTGTTTGGAAATCGTCGTGCATATTCTCGCACCGCCTTTAAAGCATTACCGTTGCAGAAACCGTATACAAAAACCATATCAGCATATTCACTATTAGAATACGTACGCGGCATATTGCAAAAGACAAAATTCATCTACTGTTAAAGGCTTTCAAAGAGCGACTGACAAATTCATAACAGAAAGTGGAAAATGTAATCAAATATGTCGGTGCTAGATATGGCAAGAAATGTAAACATTTTTTTTCGATTTCTCTGAAACGGAGCAAAAACGAGCATATGTCTATAGGACTTTTTTTCTTAGTTTTTTACTCCTCTACACGCTCCCGAAGTTTTGCCATTTAATTTGGAAACACCCTGTATATACGTATTATGCGGCGCAAATACAAGCTGTGAATTGCGAGCCGCGTCAAAGACTAGACATTTTGCAGTAATAAGAGATTTATGACTGTATTATTTGCGTACCTGATCGTGCCACTAAACATTATTGCATCTTGTGGTATGATCGATAACCGAGATCGTAATATTCGAAGAGGCACTTGCCGGATATTAATTCCATCCAACAGGATGCGTCCTTGACTGATTTCGATCAGTTGGAAGAGGGCCATTACGGTTGATGATTTTCCGCTACCGGTCCTTCCACAAATGCCTAACTACGAATATTAATCGTATGATAAAATATATAAAAAATATATATCTTATAAATAAATGTAATTATATCATATAATTATAAAATATAATAAAATATGCAGTCTCAAAAAAGAATGGCTCTACATTGAAAAAAAAATTTGTAGATTTTAAATAAATATTTACTCCAATATATATATATATATAGTATCTACTAACGAAATATTTTTTACAGTAAATAAATATTTATTCAAAATAAAACAGTTATGTTTAAATCAAATAAATATATGTTTACATTTAATAAATATTTCGTTAGTAATATTGGAATATTTATTTAAAATCTTTATTAATAAATATTTATTTAAAATCTGCAAATTTCTTTTCTGTGTATTTTCAATCTTCGAGAAGAGATTTTATTTAGAGTGACAATTCACTTTAAAATTTTAGAGAGTAGTGATTATTGATTATTTTTATATCATATATACAGGGTGGCCCACGTAAAGTGTTACAAGTTAATAACTCTAAAATATTTGTCCTATCAAAAAGTTGTTCATGAGAAAGTTTCATATATTCGAGGGGTCTTTCTAACTACGTAAACAAAAATCCACCCCCGTCCCCCCTTGAAGAGGGGCGGAGGGTAACTTCAAAGTTTCAAATGGGACCCCCTATAAAATGTTACATATTTGGATTCTAAAAAACTAACTAAATTGCATTATAGTAGATCTGTATTTACATTTCCCGATAAATGTGTGTATTTATGTTTCTTTTGGTTAACATCAAGATCGTTTTCGTTTTCATTGTATCGTGAACACAACTTTGTGTCAATGGAGTTCAATCATGAATAAAATGGCTAAAAGTTTAAATGTTCATAATTTTTAATAGGAGCATTTTCCAAAGAAATGTTTCAGACGAAGTTTACTTGTTTTTCCCCGTAGAATCCAAATATGTAACATTTTACAGGGAGTCCCATTTGAAACTAGTTACCCCCCGCCCCTCTTTAAGGGGAGACGGAGATGGATTTTTATTTACGTAGTTAGAAAGTCCCTCGAATATTATGAAACTTTCTCATGAACTTTTTGATAGGACAAATGTTTTTAGACTTATTGCTTGTAACACTTTAAGTGGGCCACCCTGTATATATATAAATTTATTTTGCGCCAGTATTAGATATTATATTATATCATCTACTACTTTATTACTGATTACCTTTTGCCCAGCTGATATTCTCAAAGACAAATCTCTGATCACCGGATTTCTGTCCGAATCATAGCGTAGAAAGACATTCTCAAAAACGATCTCTCCTCTATTAGGCCAGTCATTGGCCACCCGTAAACCTAAAATCCAGCAGTTAAAATTAGCACGTATATGATAAGGAAGATAACGGCAAATAACCGGATGTTAATTAACTTGCGAAAGACACTTTTGCGTTGTCTGGCGATTTGTATATTCGTACGTGTTTTCGATAATACACAAATAAAACACCGAACCATTTCAGGAAGTTGATTAATCACCAATTGATAGATTTTTATCAATATTTAAATACAATTGAAGTACTATATACAGTATCGTTTTGATAGACGATAATAATGGAAGACGAAATAGTGAATTAATATTTAATAATACGATATTTTTAAAACTAAAAATTATCGATCGTTTACTGGATTTAGTTTGTGACTGTCACGAATTAAAAATTATTAACGTCATGACTCGGATTATTAATACATTTTGTTTATCGATATTTCATTATATAAGATTTCCATATCTTTGCAAATTAAGAAATTTCAGCGGATTTTAGTTGAAAATTACCGTTTTCATGAAGCTTCTCCGGTTGCATATTTTTGTAAGCGCAAATTCGAGCTACACTTCCCATGTACAACTCGATCTCTGCGCTAAACTTGATCATCCAGTTCAATACCGGCACTAAGAGGGTATAATTTATTGCCAGGCCTACTAATCTGGGTGTTACGTGACTTGGGTACAGCTCCGCAGAAAGTAAAGCTGTAGAAATGGCTACTACCACGATAACAGCGCCCAGATAATCCTAAAATTATTTACGAAACAATAACAATCAAGAGTCTACCACTAAAGCTAAACATTTCATCAATTTATTGCTTATATAATAAATAAATTATATATTTATTATTTACAATAAAGTTATAAAATATAAATTTAATAACATCAATCTTTGAATTATATTAATTACCAAATTTTAGATTATAATTACCCAATCTTAGAACTTTTTGGCTAATATGCCGATTGAGGGAGACCTTTCCAATGACAACATATGCCAAGGTCAATGTCATCGGAGAAGTTTCCCCCAATTAGCTTATTTAGTATTTACCATTTTTGACATTTATTGTACTTATATGACTCATTATTTTTACCAATGTGATGCCAAACCATCTACTACTGGTGTTTAAAATGAGAAATGCGTTGGTATTTATGTCGAGACGTTTCATCATCTCCTCCATGAAACGACTCTCTTGCTTGAATGCCCTTAGTGTCGGAAGGCCGGATAAAGTTTCTGAGAAATGCGCTACTACTGGTCCTCTCGTACTTGAAATGATTGATTCCAACAAGAAAATGAAAGAAAAAGATTAATGAAAATTTTTCAGTTTGAGAATACAAAACAATTCGATTAATTTTATTAATTACTCGCAAATGTGCAGTGCTATCTTGCATATTATTCTTTATTTAAATAATAATCACTTATTATTTGTTATTATTAATTAATTGTTTATTTGTAAACATCAGATTTGTGAAGTACTTGAAAATTAATAAGAATTTTTTATAGCCTTTCGTTTCCCTTTGGGGTTATATAAAAGGATTTAAAGAAGTTTTCTAATATTTCATAATGACTATTATGAGAGAGTAATAATTATTAATACCTGCCATCTAAACATTGTAATTGTCTAGCGCTTCGCCTGTAGAATTTTTGCAGTGCATAATAAGCGCAGCTAATTGGTACAACGGTGATCAAGAACCACGGTGAAATAATAATATTTATGATCATCACAGAACCACAGAGTAATACAAAAGACGTCAGTCTCTTGATTGCAGTAGCCATTTTCTTGAGAAAAGGAATAAAGAAATTAATTTAGGTTTTATTAAAATGACTTTATATTCATAGATTATTTTTAATAATATTTACATAATATTAAACATATGATATTAAATTGTTTTGGCGACTGTAATTAATTGTTAAAAAAAATACAAGAAGTTTAATTAATTAATTTGTCTATTTACCTTGTCGATGACACTCATGTCTGCACTAAACCTGCTCAGAATCTTTCCAATGAGATTGCATTCGAAGAACGAGATGGGTGCGTTGAAAAGTCCAGCGACAGCTTTTTCGTGCAATTTCCGTCTAGCTCTAGCACCTAGCCATTGACCCGACACATTGTAAAGTACTGATAAAAAAATTGAGCCCACGGATATGATGATATACACCATGAAATAAGACATCGTCTAAAAAAGGATCGACATTCAAAATTATTCTTAGAAACACATCATCCGTGTATGGCACATCTTTTTCGATTGTAAAAATATCATTATATTTTTAAGCATTGACATATAATATCTTTTTATAATAACAATAAATTATTCTTAATTCGGTAGTAATGTCAGCGAGATAAGCGTGTGTAGTAGTAATTGCAATCGATTGATTATTAACATTAGTTGGGACGTAGATCTAGTTTCTCTAGTGATAAATTTTTGAACACAAATGCGATATTCTTATCGTTGTAAAATTAAAATCATGATGATCTCATATATATTTTTCAATATATAAAATTTATTTACATTCGCTGGCGAACGAATGCTTTCCTCCATCCATTCACACAGCCAGAAGTCAGTATACACGCGAAGGATTTGAAAGGCCAGCGCTGCTATAGCGTAAACGAGTCCCGGTATCCATCCACCAGCCCTTTGATATTCCATCCAAATCATTCTAGTGACCATTCCACCTTTATCGTCAACTTCAAGTTCACTCTGTTCATCTACGTCTTCGTTGTTCAATGCTAAAAGAAAGATTTAGAAATTAAAACGGATATTTTTTGTAAATTTTAAGCGAAATAAATAGGAAGGAGCGTAAAAAAATAAAGAAATATATAAAAAAATATGTATAAATAATTTCGATAACTAACTTTCTTCCACATCATCTATCTGATCGATAGTTCGCGATTCTACTGATAATAATTTTTTCATCGGAAGATGATGATGTTGATCCTGGTGCAGAATAATTCTAAAAAAAAAAATGAAAAATATTTAATTTTCAATTACTTATTTATAATTTCTTTTTCATAATTGATTCTTTTGTAATTACTTGTTAGAACCTGACATCAGTCGAGACAGGACATTTTTGTCTTTGCTCATTGCCATTTCTTCCGGATATCTAAAGTTTGCGTTATATTATTTCTTCTTTCATTTTTTTAACTATATTTCGTAACAATAAATCACATTATATTATCTATATATAAAGAAAAAAAGTTTAAAACCTAGCAGAGAAGAATTGCTTTAGCACACCGCTGGGCTGTCCGTTGTTGTAAGTGTTGTTCCTCTTCCTAAACATAAGTAAAACTTGTGAAACAGGAAATTTATTTTGTATTAAAAATATATAGCTGTATATTATTTCACGGAAATTATTTTGTAATCGTAAAGAGATATTTAAATGAAAAATTAAAAACTCGCGACAGAAAGTTTTGCTAAAGAAAGATCAATTTGAAATAAATTTATAAATTAGTTCGTCAGACTTTTTATCTAATTGCATTTTATATGTATATACTCGAAAAAGAGAAATATTTCAAAATTCATACCTCGGTGACACGTACCGATTTTCAAGAATGATCGGCGTGCTGTTCTGTCGAAAAATTGACGACGGTCGTTTTCGGGCTTGAAGACTCATCAATCTGACGATGTCATGATGCGATCTCGATCGTTTCCTATCAGTGTCCCATTCTTCCTCTGATACTAAAAGTTCTGTGAGAACGTGACTCCAATACTTCGATCCGGATAAAGTTGTTCGGCGTAATCTTAAAGGTACGAATGTTGGCGGATTCTAAAAGGATTGGTCAGTGGATTCGCAATTCAGATTAACGCGTTAGTGATAAAATTATATCCATATATAAATCTCAAAGATGTCGTTAATGTGTATATATGGTATTTGCTCTTTCTATTTACCACACAGGCATCGCGATCGGTGATCCACCATCCGTCATCGCCGTGCTTTTTCGTTTTATTCATTCCGATTTTATAGACTAGTTTGGTTAAGGACCATCGGTCCTTGGCAGTTTTTTGAAATTGATTCTCGTCTTCGCGTCTCGTATTCACGATTCGCCACTCTGCCGCTAATTCAGAATCCATATCCTCGATGCTCGATTTCGTTCCGATCGCACGAACTCGACAGCCATCCATAACAATTATCTTAAAATATATTTTTATGCGATTTCTCTGCTTTTTGTCATCTTTTAATAGACATAAATTATTTCTTTATATATGTATAAAGAAATCATATAGAAATATCTACATAGAAGTATAAAAAGAAAAAATAAATTACTTATTTTTTTAATTCAAAGTATCTAATAACATATATAAAAAAAACAGCGAATACATATCAATAAAAAGAATTATAATTAAAAAAATTCATTTCATTAAAAAAATTTCAATCTAACGGTAAATATAAAATAATATATATTTTTATTTGTATAAAATCTTTAAAAACTTAGCTAAAGTATTGGTATTAAAAACATAAAATAAAACCTGATGCGCAGCTGATAACAGCTCCAATTTATGAGTGATCATAATCACTGTTCGACCGTTTCTCAGTAAGAGCTTCTTGATACCGTAATCGAAAATCTGCTGACCGACATGCTGATCTAATGCCGACAGTGGATTGTCCTGCAAGCAATTTTTTTATTTTTATTAGCATATAAATTTTTTGCATGGAAAATTAAAGATATAAGAAAGCGCACAAACGAACCAGGAGGACGACGTCGGCGTCATTGTAAAGAGCTCGGGCTATAGTAACTCTTTGCTTCTGTCCGCCGCTCAAATTAATACCTCGTTCACCAATCCTGGTCAGATCTCGATCGGGAAGTATGTCCACGTCCGGTTGAAGAGCGCACGCATGTAAGACATTGCGATATCTTCGCGATCGATACGTAGATCCAAAGAGAATATTGTCTCTCAAGGTCGCATTTTGAAGCCATGGCTGTCGCGCCACATAAGCAATTTTCAAACCCCTGAAAAGAAATGCGATATTTTTAATCGATAAAATATATTTTTGTCATAATTAAGCTGTATTAGATCTTTTTCTTCTCTTTCTTTTTATTTTAATTACTTAGTCCATTCGACGCTTCCGCTTCTTTTCTGAATCTCTCCTAAGAGTGCCATTAATAAAGAGGTCTTTCCACTTCCGGTTTTCCCCACTATTATCGTTAGTTGTCCTAAAAACACAAGAAGTCTTAGTTCATTATATTTAAATATAATTTATTTTTAAAAGAATAATAATTTATTTTAACAAATATAATAAATTATTATATCTATCTAATATCTTTGCTTCTAGTTATATATTTACCTCGCGGAAAATTGAGAGCGTTAATCATCAACATATTTTGGTCGGATCCCCAGACGAAAGTACTCGGTGTGATTTTAAGGACAGATTCCGATACTTCCGGATCTTTTTCGAATACCGTATCGATTGAGGAGTCAATTGGCAGACCGAATTCACGCAAGATACTCGACCGTGGATCTTCCTCGTCCTCTTTAATATTGTCCAGCGATCCAAAAGTTGCAACGCTATTAATTGTTTCTCTCTGTGAAGAGAATAATGCGTCGCGTCAATTTGAATTGTCGAAATAAATACATTCAACATTCAATTTGTAAAATGTGAAAAAGTACAATTGCAGAATTACACAAAGTAGATTTTTTAAATTTAACCATCTTGATCTTATTGTTTTTATGCAATTTTAAACAACTATTTTATACAATTAAAAATAAAGTAAAATAGTTTTAAAGACCTTTTATTTAAAAAGTACTCACATCATTATCAATGTATGAATTTGCTTTTGACAATATATCCGTTGTTGATTTATAATCATTTGGTTCAGGGAGAATATTCACGATCTCTGGAAGCTGGAGAAACTCTTCTAGTCTTGTTGTAGAAATCTGCAATCGAGAAGGAATGTCTCAAATTTAAGGGGACTGAATTTAAAGAGTCGTTTAACGCGAGAACGTTAATCCTCACCATGGCATTGATGATAATCGGTACTATCACCGGAAAGATGAAGAGCGGCACAGTTAGCTGCGAAAAGAGCGCGAGACTGGCAAAAACATTTCCCGCATCAAGATTTCGTTCCTCTAACCAGAAATAAATACCGAATGTGAAGAGAGTTACCAGAACGCAGAAGACATGCGTTAGAAAGTCTGCAATAATAATATATATATTTACATTCCTGTTTTTTTTTTCAATTAAATTATTAGAACGTTTAGTAAATTATAAAAATTTTCATATTATATTCAATGTTTCAATTTTTCAGATAATCTTCTTGTTTCTTGCGCAAAAATCGAAGCATAAAAATTTAGAAATGTTTTATAATTAATAAACGTTTTAAGAGAAAAACGGAATTATTATTTTATATATATGTATATTTACTAATAAGCGCCCAATATATAGAATCCTTTTTCAGTAGCTTCAATTCTTCATCCCTGATTCTATATATGTGATCTTGGAAGAGATTCTCCCAAGCGCATAGCTTAATGAGCCGTATTCCTTGAAGAATTTCATTAAGTAGACGAAGGCGCATGTCGCTTTTTTCCTGGAAAGATTGGAGAAAATTGGAGATTCAAAAAAAGGAAAATTGGAAAATAGTTATCACTTTCTTACCGCTATGGATTTGGAATTTTCGGACATTTGTTTCCCGAGAAATAACTGAATCGGTGTGACGATCAATATGCAGCAAATTACTGCGATAATAGCGCTAATACCCAATTTCAAGTACAGAAGGAAAATGATAGCGGTAATCTGTATACAAATTAAACGAAAGTATCTCGAAAATTATAAAATAATCATAAAATAATTGTTTAAATTATATTTTATTATATTAATAATTGTTTAAATTATATTTTATTACATTAATAATTATACTTGTAATTTATTTTGCAATAATATTTGCAATAATTTAATAAACGTTTTTTCTCTGTGATGTTAAGTATTATTAAAATATACGCTGTACATATTTACTTAGTTAAATGTCCTTACTTTTAATGGAACGGCCCAGATGTAATGAACGATCCAGAAGAAACTCATTACGTTATACGCATCTTCGGCCATGAGATTTGTTACAGTTCCGACATCAGCTGCTTGTTGATGACAGTGCTGCTCTTTATCTTTATCAAATGGTTTCTCTTCCTCAGAGATACTCCATGAAGACAATCGAAGAGCCTTATCATAAATCAGTGCCTAAACAATATAACAAAATTTCAACGAGTTTTGTTCGGTATTTTGTGATGTTTGAGCGCATCAAAAATGAACGAAAGATGAATAATTTATAAATTAAACATTATTCACGATAAAATACCTGAAGAGCTATTCGCAAACGTATTCCTCCGACACAGAGCACATGAGTAGAGGCTTGTTTCAATGTGCTTTGCAAAATGGTGACAAGAAAAACTACAATCCCCAAGAAATATCCATTTTTCAGAATTTGCGAAAATGTTAAAATTTCCTAAACAGTTAATCAATTATTTAGTTAGATAGTTGCGTATCAAAATGAAAAATAAAGATGATTTTGAAAGACAATAGAGAGATGTGTTGATACCTTCGAAAAAAAACTTTCATTTGTGCTGTTTTGCAAATTTGACGCATAATTAACGATCTTCGGAATTGTCATGGGACCCACCAAAGTCATAATGTCGCCGAAGAGCTTCAAGATACTACCCGCTGCGAATGTTAACCATGTTCGTTTCCAAAAACATTTCCACAAAGACAATTTTCGTCCACGGCATCGCAACTAGGAATTTAAGTTCGATTTATGCTAAATAATATGTAGATTTCGATATACGAAAAGGTGCGACTCATGACAAAATTTTAATTTCAGTAATTATTAGAAACGCTTTTAATAATTACTCAAATTAAAATCTTGTCGAAGATATTTAATTATTATATATCACATTAATAAATGTATTATCTGCAGATTATTATAAGTTATTACATTTAATATTAACATTAATAATATTATTTTTTTTTGACAAGGCAATACTTTAATTTTATTAATTATTAAAAGCAATTTAAATTAAAATTATCAAACAATATAATAATACTTTTATATGCAGAATACTTAGAGGAACCATATTGTGTAAAAAAAATCGTACAACTCCATTTAAAAAAGTGAGAGATGACTTTTATATTTTTTGACGCTTCTACCTAGAAAAAAACATGACTAAAATACGTTCCCCTCGAAACTGTTCCACTTTCATTTAAAGCATTTTTTTATATCATCAAAAATAAGTGAAATATTTCAGATGATCGATTTAAGTGGACCACCCTGTATACATTATATTTTTATGATACTTCTTAGTGTAATGTATAGTAATTAAATATCTTAATCATTTTCGAATTGCTTAGCCGTTACGAGAGTGAATTATTTCTCGTGAAATCTTTCTCAAGAGAAGGAAGCGAAAATTGTTACCTTTTCGGTTTCGTAAATGTCGTGAAAACGTTCAAACTGATTCCTTGTGGTATCTTCGTCCGGAAGTTGTCCAAGATCGTGGAGTTCGAGCGGTGTGTGATAACCATGCAGCAACAGATCAGTCATCCAGTGGAAGGTGATCTTGCTGAGAAATGGCGAGGTAGAGTGCACATAAGAGTTCCGCGCATTATCGGGCCTTTTAACGGTGTACTGTCTGCTTTTCTGCATCTAACGACGAAACATTATCGTGGCGAATATATTTGCAGAAAATAGGCTGAAGTGCCAGGCAACGCGATGTTTGTTTCTACGCTGGGAAAAGACGGAGTAGTAAAATGTTGTTGATGCTGTTCGCCTTTATCGAGTCGAGGAAGTCGTAAATGCAAAACGGGGTGGGCAAGATTTTAATGCGTCTCTGGGGAGACGGCGAACATTTGCAAGTGCTTCGCTACAAGTTCCAATAGTATGTATTTCGAAAAGTTTTTCTCACGTCTGAAGAAGAACATAATGAGAAAAAATTTCTAAGAAAATAATTAGATAGGATAGTATTTTCTAAAAGTGTAGAACGAAATACTTTTTTATGTAATAACCAATAAAAATAATTAAGTATAAAAATGTTTGAGTAATTTTATCTCAAAAGAAGTCTGCTTTTTAAAGATATATAAAATAATTAAATTTACCATACGATAAAGGGTATAAGAATCAATAATAGCTAGCAATCCGCAACAAGTAGCGGTGATCCCCGTTGTTGCAACTCGAATGTACCGAATAGACAGGCCAAATCTAAAAAAATAGCAGTTTAATAAATATGAAACTTGAGATAAGTTAATTATTATTAATAATAATTAGTTACGCGTTAATTATAATAATATTACAAAAAACTATTGATAAATAATAGCAATATTATATAATATAAATATAAGAAAGTAAAGAATTTGGTTAATATTAATTGAAGAAAAAGATATCAAAATATAATTAGTAAATCTATAATGTATTTTATCTTAATAAATATTAGTAATATATACCTGCATAAGTATAAAAACTTCCATGCTCGCGTAAGACCGATTACCGCAAATCCACCTCCAGACGCGGCAGTACTGAAACCATCCCTAATCTCGGTTTCGCGGTGTAATATCCAACAAAATAATACAGCAATTATTGTTAAAATTAACGATAGTGAAATCGTCGTCAGTATGGACTCGTATAGTTCCAATAAAAGATTCAGCAGTAGTAATATACAAATTAAAGTTCTGCTTGTGTGAAGTGGCAACAACGACTTGGAAAGCCTAAGAAAAAAAGTTGACATTATTCTTATGTTAATATAATCATGCCTGTCATAAATATTTGCAAAATTCATATATTCTGTTTTACACTTTAAAAAAAAATTTCTAAATTTAAAAGAAATAACTTTTTCTTCCAAATTGGGGTAAATATTTTTTTTATATTAGAAATATAAATAAGAAAAGATTGAAAATTCTAGAAGTTAATGATAATATAAATAAATATACGATATTACAATATTTGAAAAATTTTAAGTATTGCTAATTTGTATATATACGAGTTAATGTAGAATTAATTCAGCATTAATCGGTAGTAGTTGAACCTTTACAGAATAATTAATGTAAAAAAACGTTGGCGAGGTATCTTGTTATACGAGTACATTCTGTAATCACATCAGCTATGTAGACGTATTATGTATTCGACGGGTAAATATAATATATGATGAGTAGGGGATTGGGTTTGTACACGTCTTAACGAACCTGAATGGCCTCTGAGTCATTTCGCTTGCAATTTCCCGAGTCTATCATTATGTTGTGCTAGTGACATCATTGACATCAACTAATATCATACTTGCAGATACTTGATGTTGTATTAGTTTGTAAGTTAAATTTAAAAATTAAATATGTTAGGGGATACATACTATAATATTAATGAGCATGTAAGTAATTATCGACTTTGTACTCTCTTTTATTAAGATAAAAAGGTGTAGCGTGCTTATTTCATATTTTCATTTCTACTTTTATTAAAAAAGAAAACATTTAGAGAAGATTCACTGAGAATATTAATATACTAAAGATTCTATTTATGTAGCCTGTTGTTAATTTTATGATAATAGCGAGTGATGTACACTGAGTTAGTTAATTTGTAAACGACTGAAAATATAAGCTCGAAACAAGTTTGCTTCTGATGTACGATTGTGAGGTAGAAGGAAGCAATAAATCGAATAATTACTGAATTACTCTTTTCGCAATTTGATGTGTGTGTGTGTGTGTGTGTGTGTGTGTGTGTGTGTGTGTGTGTGTGTGTGTGTGTGTGTGTGCGTGCGCGCGCCCGCGTGTGTGTATGTAAAGTTATTGCAAATGTACAAGTAACAAAGTGAACAGTAATAGCCGCGTATGTTGTGTCTACGATATTCCAGGCATGTTCTCATTTACGCTTTCTTCGGAAAAACAATACTTTTTGCGTTTAGAATGTAAATGCAGAAAAAAACGAAGAGCAATAAAAGGTTAAAAATAATAAATTTATTAATGTATTAAATTTAAGGAAACTAAATTATTTAAAATTCTCTAAGACTAAAATTCTATTTATAAAGAGCTAAATAACAAGTCAAGTCCTCTTTTAGAAATTATGTCAAAAATTTTCGCAAATGTTTTTAGAAATGTGACAGGCCCATGAAGTGAGAATACTTCCCATTTCGTCCCGCTCGTAGTTTTCTATATATAAAAATTACCAAACTTACAAAACTCAAGAAACACAGTAATCTTTTGTAGATATTTTAAGCTTTAAAACTTATAAAATTTAAGTTTCATTCATTTTTAATGAAGCTATAGGTAATTATTTGAATTTTAAACTCTACAACTTGTAACTCTACAAACTTTTGTTTCGATTCAATATAAAAAAATTTCGCCAGTCAATGTAATTAATAATTTTTGAACAGCGACGACGTGAGTCGGCGACTATATAAGTGTATAAGTGCCTATAAAGTGAGTGCATTTATTCTAGGAGACTGAAAGAGAGAGAGAGAGTGTGTGTGTGTGTGAGAGAGAGAGAGAGAAATCTGAGTTTCAACCTGCTATAAATTATTCCAGTAATTAATACTAAGCGTTTTTCTTCACGCACGAGTGCATACCGGCATTCCGTTTCATTAATTGCTCATATGTAATGAAAACGCTCACAGTGTCGATGAGGTATGTCGATCGCGATTAACGGGATTGCTTCATTTCCATACAACAAAAATTATACACGCTCTAAGAACACGCGCGCGTGTTATTATACAATATACATAGTAAGTACGCGAAGAGTAATTGCAAGATAAGACTTAATAATTACTCCACATGCGTTTACTAAATATTGCAATATATTATTGCACTAAAATATTTCGTAGTAAGAGTAATAAACATTGTAGTAAAAATATCCTAGTTGTGTTAACAATAAAAGAATATTTACATATTTATTATAAGCCGACATATCTTCAATTATCAAACTTAGAGATAATAATAAATCTTTCTATAGTCATTAAAATATACAACAGTTTCTTTACTGTTGAAATATCTTAAATAGAACAAAATAATTTTTCTTTTGCTGCTTAATAGCATTGCATTCATTAAACATTCATAATCGTAGGTGGTATCGGTATACAATATATAAATTTGAAATTTGTAATGAGTGCGCAATGAGTATTATGCAATAAGTTAAACGTAATTTATGTGTTACATTCCAAGTAAATAAACTATTGAGTCATATTATGAAAATATTAGAAAATTGATCGATTTGTGGTCCGTTACTTCTGTGAAACTACACGTTACTACGTACCACGAAGGCTTCAGCGGAGAAAAATAATCAAAATGCTTTTTTGAGAAGCGTGCTCTATTAATTATTTTCAGCATCTGGTAAGAGAATAACTGGAAAATTAAGTTCTAAGAAAGAAAAAATTGTAAGTTTATATGGTTAACAAAACCCAATTAAATATATTTATCTGTTTGTACATATAATAATGAAATTATTAAAATTATTATATTCTTAATTATCCTAACGTTGCATATTATGCATCATATCGCAAATCATAATACAATTTGCAATATGATGAATAATACTAGAATCTTGGAAAATGTAACATTAAAAACATAATTATCATGAGAGTAACTCGGAAAAGTGATGAATTCATTGTGATATTGACATTGTCAATATTACAAGGATGACGGATAATTACTTGCGGCTTATATATCTTGTGGCATAAAATGGATCAAATCTCTCGCTTGAATCATGGGGCATTCCAAACGAATAAAGCATTTTATTATCTAATTGAAATTTACTTCAATTAAGTAATTATGAGTAATATCTCGAAGGATAATTCGATATTTAATATCCGTATCATATTAGTTACGATAATATCTGAAAAACTTTATATTTCTAGTCAGTTAATTATAATATTAATATTTCGTGTCTCATAATTATATCGTTCCAGCGACAATTCTGTTCACTTAATTAAACACGTGGAATAATTGCTCTCTAAATTGTAATTAAAATTTAAATTGCGAAACGTAAATATAAACTATTTATGAATATAAATGTAATCAAAGTTATTACAATTAATTACAGCTCCAATGCGATATTTCTTCTCTTTGTCAACTTACTTGTCTGTCGTGCTGCATTTGTATTTAAAAATCAAAATTGCGGCAACGAGTGTAGTGAGAATAGCGATGGAGAGGTTTGTCAATTCAATGAGACATCCGGCCGACGAGTGCAGATTATTTTCCGGCACCTGGAATACTGTGCCATTTCCGGCTCGCCAGGACCAAATTATTCGTTCTGTGAGCTGCGGTAGTATATACAGAAACTTGTATTGTTTGCAGAAATCCATCTCGATTATTCTGTGCCTTTGATAATTTTTATCAGAATTTGTGGCTTATTTAATTGTTTTGTGCATCTAGAAGAAAAGATTATGTTTTATTTGAATCAAATCGGTATTAAAAAATTGTTTTTATAACAATTACTAATTAAATGTTTGACATGTGCGAATTAATAACTAATTATGTTACACATAAAATAAATATCCCTAAGATATATATTTCTATAGAAAAAAAGTAGTACACATCTCAAATATTTATATAGATTTAAATGAATAACGCCAAAATATTTCTAGATCCGAATAAACATTACCATTCACGTCATTTTAAAGAATAATTTTTTTTATATTATTTTTGTATTGATATCGCAATAGCACCTCTGACGAATTAGATCTGTATTCCATTCAGGAAATTCTGCGCACCAAGTGACTTATTTTCGTCGAGCGCTTTGTGTCTTCTAAAAATATATCGAAGTGTTGAATAACTTCGTACACGATAAGAGCACGTGTGCTAATAATCACACAAAATTATTGTTTATAATAATTACACAATTTTATTATTTATGCGTAACAATTCAGGAAGGTCAAGGATGAAATTGATAAAATAACAAAATTAAAAGAAATCTTAAGCGAGGATGTAGATCAACGATGAGTAAGATCAGTTCGAGGGAAAATTGTATTCTAATATCTGATGAAATCCAAGAAAGAGAATTATAAAAAAAACGAATATATGTACATAAATATACCATTATTTATCATTAATAGAATATTTTTTATTAAAGACAAAATTAGGCTTAATTACGAATTAATATCTAAATAAAAATTGGATTAATTAAAAAATTAATCGAGATGTTAAGATATGTGTTATCTGTATGTTAAATAAATTTTTTTAATTCCAATATTGTCTTATATTCATATCAAATACTAACAATTCTTCTTCGCGATAAAAATCACATTAATCGTTTTACGATAAGAAATAAATTAAATAAGATAATTATGTCTTAATTTTTTTTATCCTAATTGTTAGCGAGATTTATTAATAAATAATTTTCGATTCGTTTTGATCCTATTCTATTAAAATACAAAATGCGCAAGTGTTTATTATAAATCACGCGGAAATAAAAAATAATTGTATTAATTTTAACTTAAACTCTTAGATTTTTTTCGATATGTAGATTTCTCAATATATATGTAGATTTATTTGATAACATCAAATGCTCTACCTGTTAACTAGATACTAGATCAACATTATTTTTACTTATCTACTGATTTGTTCGATAAATCGATGGATTATGTTGATAAAACCGGCAATTTAATTATTTTCGCTATTGCTATTAACCAGAGCTGAATAATCATTTAAAATGTCAAATATAAAATACTTAAAAAAATGTATTTAAAATGCAAAATTTTTCTAATCCACTTTATATGTAAAATGGGTATATGTAAAATAAATATTTTAAATAGTTTTCAAATACAGAATGGTTTTCCCTATATTCTCATTTTAATATACATTTTTTTAAGTATTTTACATTTAACATTTTAAATAGAATTACATTTTAAATAGTATTTTAAATGCTTAGCCCTGCTATTAACATTAATATGCGCGATTCATAGTCACAACGCTTTCACTTTTCCAAATAAACACAGGAAACTGAAACACTTGACTTTTGTTTGACACTTTCGGTTATGCATGCCGCACGCGGTACTGACAAGAGGCAGAGGAGTCACACGCGTTCTCCCTTTCCAGTGGTTCGCGGTCTACTGAGATGAGATCTGAACAGAATTCCACGTGTACGTTGAGTCACTGATGAAAAAGAAAATCCCCCGTGGATGTGGCAAAAATATTGAAACTATGATTTTGAGCTAGAATATTAACACACAAAACTGACTGCCATTTGCATTAAACGCGATTTTTGTCTTAAATAACACCTTAAATTCTTTTTTTATATTCCTTTTTTATATTCCTGAGCCTGAATTTTGAAATTTGGTTCCACAAAAAATAGAATTTAGATGTTTAATTACTATACGAAATACTAAAAATAAATATTTCTCTAAATATAATAAAACAACGTTATGTTTTTCGATATAAGGCAGTATATAATGTATTAAAATATAATTTTAATGAACAGGTTAAATAGTTTAATAAAATTATAATAATATGTTCTCACATTACAAAAATCGTCATGCAATGTAAACGATGTATAAGAATCTGAATTCAACATAAAAAGCTACTTAAGCGGTGTCACAATATTTTTTTATAAAACAAATAATATATGTTGAAATAATAAAATAGTTAAAAATGTAAAAATCAAAATACATTTAAAATAAATTATAGTTATTGTATATATCTGTGTAAATAGATGTAATTTTGTTCCCTAACATAATAAAATTTATGCAAAGGAATGTGCGTTAACGATGGATTCTTTGATCCTTTTTCGTTTCAGAGTCAGAAATGGAACTTAGAAAAATACACTCTGTAGTCCTTGATTTTCTGCCGGAAAATAAATTAAGCACATGTGCATCTTTGCTGAGCATCTGACGTCTCAGGAGCCATGGCAACTGCGATTGTATAATAAGATCAACCACAAGAATTGCATTGATTCTATTAATGAACCTCGATAACTTTTATAAATTGCATTAGTCACAACTTAATTTTACCAGCAAAGAGCTTCCTAATTACATCTTTTTTGATGATACTTTCGTGTTTCGAACTTTTATCTTTGCTGATTTTAATATATTATCGACACAAAATAATATTTCCTTTATTAAATAGAAAAAATTAAATTAATATTAATTAATGAATAATTGAACAATACACGATTTTATCGGGTAAATATTCAATGAAATTATATGTTGTAACAGCGTTTCATCGAGCACTATTTTGTAACATGATTTGCTCTACTTACTTATCTGGATAATTAATTATTGCCAGTAACTTCCTTATTTCGAAGCTCGTAATAAATAACATTTTCCAGTAAACGCATCGGACATGATAAGAATCATCAATCGCCTCTGCTGCGTTTTCTAAAAAGTTATTATTTGCAAATAACCAGTTTATTGCATGTATAATACTATTTATACAGCATTTCACGGAATTTCCTTAAGAAAGTGCGCTCGCATATTACTTGAGTTATAATTAATTTGTTATGCTGTAAAGTGCGTCATATAAATAAATTGAAAATTAATTATTTTTAAACGACGAATGCAATTATTTGATATAGAAATCGCGAAAGAGATTAGTCTCTTTCTAGTAATCTCTTCTTGAATATTATATGTACTTTTATAAAAGAAGATGGAAAGTTTTAAGCCAAACCTTATACAATGTGTTTTTTATTTTTCTTGTTTTTTACCTCATGCCTTTTTCCTTCTTTGCGACCATTTTTCTCAATAATCGCGTTTTTTTTCGATACTTTTACATAAGACATTTAGTATTGATATCACAGAACTAAAATTTCTTTTCCACTATAAAATCTAACAATAAGAATAAATGGATTGCTTACTACAGGAAACGTTTGCCCAAATTTGATTAAAAAATTAAATTAATAAATAAACCCATTTCAGAAATGCGTTGTCTTTTTAATAAACATATGTGGTGCACATGGACATGTATTTTAAATTACATATATGTATTATGGATTACTTAATTATTACACATACATTAAGTATTACCACAAAATCGATAATATTAATAGTATTTGCTTAATGCTTAATATTAACAGTAATCATTGAGAAGAATAAAAAACACTTTGTCAATATATATGTATAACTCTGAAAATCTTTTCCCGTACAGCACAAAAATATTGCAGCAACATTGCAGAAAGATTTCATTGCAAGATTGCAACATTGCACAGATATTGTGAAATATTGCTGCAATATTTCAGCAATATTGTAGCAACGTTAAAATGTCCGTTTCAGAAATATTGATATGTAATGTTGCAGCAATATTACAATATAATATACATATATGCAATATTACGTTTTGCACACATTTGAAGAATACTTACTGCATATTACAGAAACATTAATATTGTAAGTAGTAATATTGCAACGTTATTGCAATATTTGTTGCATATAATATAAAGATATAATAATATAAAGACATAATGTCGTATTTTATTTGCATCCGTTGTATTATGTTACATTTAATTCCTATTTTTAATTTTTTTTCTTTAATATATCAATTGTACAGTATAAAATCTTACAATAAATCAAAAAACAAAAAGTAAAGGACTCTTAATTCATACTATTATGCCCTTTTTTATCTTATTATTGTTTCAAGAATTAAGAGTCCTTTACTTTTTGTTTTTCAATTTGTTGCAAGATTTTATACTGTATAATTGATATATTAAAGAAAAAAAATTAAAAATAGGAGTTAAATGTAACATAATACAACGGATGCAAATAAAATATGACATTATAATTTATGTCTTTATATTTTATATATCTTGTATCTTATTTGTGTCCATTGTACGTTATACCATATATGTGTGCAGGTCCTTACTTTATTGGGTTATACACAAGTAGTATATCGCGAGATATACAAGTCTTAATACTCAAAATAAAACATTGTTCTACAACGCATCAATCTCTTATAGGAAATTCTTGTAAAATGGTTTTATTACATGTGTCATGAGGCTAATATGCTAATTATTACGAACGTTGTATGTTTAATTAAATGGAACGCAGCTAAATATATATATATATATAGTTGCAGCAAAAATATATATATATATAATGACGTTCGATATTTTATGCATATAAAATTAAAATTATAAACGTAATTCTTATTGTTATAATTAATGAGCTTTTTTTAACCAAGCATTTTTATAATAAATGTAATAGCATAGACATTTTTTGTAATATTTATAAAATAATTCTGCAACATTGCTGAAGTAATATTGCTAAAAGAAGCCTTCCTAATGTCTCTGCAACATTGCATTGCAATATGCAACGTTGAAATATTGCAGCAATATTGCTACAAGTTTCTGTGCCGTACGGGTATTTTCGTTATAAAATTTAGATTGCTTACTCGTTCTTATCAATAACACTGACATATTCCATGCTTTCCGATTGCTATCCTTCACGAAAATATTTGATAACAACATGGTACACTAATTCTAAAAAATTATTAATTATAATTTTACGTAATTTTTGTAAATAATTTAACATGCATTATGTGTTTGTTAGATCAATATCGATACATGTCAACCTCAATTCTTAAATGGATGAAATATAATCTTAATAAACAACGCGTATATAGAGCAAAGAAGTGTGTGTATTGAAAGTATACCATCTTATCTAACCGACAGATCATACAACTCTACAGTTTATTACATATTTAATAAAATTCTAAAATATCAATTATTATTAAATCGTATGCACAGAGAAAAAAAATTCTTATTTGGAGAATGTCTTGTTTTGAAATATAAATTTTGGAATAAAGATTATAGTGTTAAATCAACATTGCTTACGTGAAGAAATTTCATGTAGTTACATCAAGAAAAATAACAAGTATCAATTAAAAATAACAATATTGTTAATTCGAGGATCAAAATTTTTTAAAATTGAAATTAAATCATTCTTGTTTAATTGTACCGTACAACAAGAGCTGGATATATTATTTAATTTTTATATTATTATTTTTTTCTAATTTTTCTATAAATTTGACACGTTGGTGTCGCTAGTGTATGGAAGCTTCCAAGCGTCTCTCGGGTTTCTTTCCGACCAGAGTCTTGTCGTTTTGTGTAAAGTGGAGTGTTTTAAAACGAGAGGATGCGAACGTTGTCCCGTGTTCGCGGGTCTAGCGGGTGTAACGGGCAACGTCGCGTTAAATGAAACGGCATGTCCCATACGACGCAACTTTTTAGCGGGTTGCTCATCCTTCTGTCGGCGATCGCGCTGTGCGATGGCACAGACACGTACGAGATCGACTGCAGTAACCTGCGAATGGGGCAATATATCTGCCCCCATCCCGATTATGATTTCATAGACCCAAAGACGCAGCAACCGCGCGGCTGCACCAAGGAAAATAAGGCCAAAGGTAGGAGATTGACTTCGAGCGCCGGGATCGGGATTTCGGGGTATCCCTAACCTCAATCTCACATTCGGATATTTCTGACGTTTTGTTGCTATATTCTTTGTGTCGGTATTATTTAGAATAATAAATAATCTCATCTCCGATTTTGATGAAATTGGGCTCATTCGACGCGTTTTTACTCAAAATGAAAGAATTTGGCAAAAAAATTTGGCGGTCGGCCTCGTGAACCGAGATATTAAGCGTTAAATTTCGTGATTTTAGAGGTTAATTTACTGTTAAGGCAAAGCATTTGTGTAATTAAAGCAGCACGAATACATAGCGCTATATCGAGTCGGGATGACAGACATCTTAACCTCTAAAATCTCGAACCTTAACGCTTGATATCTCGGTTACGAGGTCGACCGCCGCACTTTTTTTTTGCCAGATTGTTTCATTTTGAGTAAAAATGCGTCGAATGAGCCCAATTTCATCAACATCGGATATGAAGCCCGTATTCTAAATAACTACCTTATTATTCAAAATATTGTTTTTTTACGTACTGTATTTAGAAATTACGGTTTGCTAAGTATCTAGAATCCCTGGAATTATAATTTTTACAAAATTAAACTTGGATTTATATCTTTGCTAGTGCTATGTCTAGCTGCCGATGGCCTTATATGTACAGAAACAAAGAACAACACTTTCAAAAAGGATATACCTTGTAAATGGACGTAAGTAATTGGATACTTGTACCCATTTTTACCAATGTAGAGTAACTGTAATCTTGACTCAATTTGCTTTTCGTCTTTTTGTAGTTTTACGAATTAGAAAAAGATCAAGAGTAAGTTCAACCAAAATTAAAGTTAATTTACATTGAAAGAAGTAGATATTGAACATGTAATAAATCTTCTGGAGTTGATAGTGTATCTATTGAACTCGTTCAGTTGTAAATTTTTTTATCCAAAATTTCAAGCACATTTGTCAATTTTCTTTATGTTACATCTGCAAATTTAGATTATTCTTACTATAATATACTTAGTATTCATTCTTTTTTACATGAAATATGTTATTTTCCTTCCTTGAAATTAATTGGTGCCTTTTAATTAACATAAGTGTGTCTTATAGAATCAGTTAACCGTATTACGGATTCTGTTTTCAGCTTCAAATGATTAACCTTTAACTGGAACATATAGGTATCCTGATAATCCTAAAAATAATTTAAAAAGTAGTATTTTTTGAAACAATTTTTTAATGCGTATTTATATTTAGATTTAGAAGCAATAAATTCTATCATAGACAGGATTGACAGGAATCGGCTAGTGTGGTTTTAATCAATGGTTTTAACCTGGTTTTAACCGGCCTGGTCAAAATCGGTTTTGACCACTTGGCCAAAATTTAAGTCAAAACTTATTAATGGCCCAGTAAACAAGCTGACGCTATTTATCATCAAAATGACGTCTTGAACGTCAAAAAGACAACAAATAATGTCTGCTGAGGTACTATTTTATCCTACGTTACTGTTATTAACACAGTTTTTAAGTTAACCTAGCTACCCCCAGCTTAGAGTTAAGATAGAGAATTAAGATAAAAAAAATTAGATTAAAATAAGTCAGAAGATTTTATTATACAGGGTGTTTCCAAATTAAATGGCAAAACTTCGGGAGCGTGTAGAGGAGTAAAAAACTAAGAAAAAAAGTCCTATAGACATATGCTCGT